ATTTAATGACTTTGAATTGGTGATTATTTAGATTTTAGATTGATAAATCTTAGTGCGGCAATTGTCCTCTTCAAGCACAGTGATATTTGTAGATATAAGAATCCTTTTTCTTTGTTACCATAATCTAATACTACGTATGTTGAAACTTCAGCTGGTAATTCATTAGCTTTTTTGTATTGCCATTTTAGTTGAAGAATATCCATCATGTGGCTGAAATAATCCTATCCGATGTGCACTCTTCATAAAATGAATTTTATTTTTCGTTCTGTACAATGAAAATAAAGAGGCAAAAGAGAATCATGCTTCTTATTCACTGCTCCCTAAGAGGGTGAGGGTGATTTTCGAGTGATGCTTTTACAGGTATACATTATTCTTACCAGTATGATAGTGAGGGTGATTTTGCCGAGAAGAATGTTTCTCACTTGGGAGATGATTTTCTCGGTCATGCTTCGGAGAGCGAAAAGAGGACTCATATTTCATTTATGGAGGATTTATGGGACTCCCTCCGTCCCATATTTAGAATGATGCAAATTAGAATCAACCAAACAATATTTAGAATGATGCAACTTTAACTTTAATCACACACCGATAGGGGTGAGCATCGGGCGGGTTCGGGTCGGGCGGGTTGATAAACCCAAGACCCTTTCGGGTTTCGGATGGGTAAAATAGATACCCTACCCTATGTTTTTTTTACTTGTATAGTTTCGGGTTTTTTCTGAAATTCGGGTTGGGCGGATTCGGATCGGGTTCGAGTTCAGTCGGTTTAATTTTTAAAATTGTAATATATATAAAAAAAATGAAATTGCAAAACATAATTTGATTCCCATACAAAATTAGAATATGATAGAAGTCATACAAGATTAGTAGTCATACAAAATTAGAATATGATAGCATATTATTTAATTACACAAAGTTCCAAGTATGCAAAAATAATACACCCAAATGTCCAATTTCCATTTCTCAGAATCTCAGCCAATTCACTGAGTTGCTTGAACACTTGAAGTTCCACCCTTCCACATCTATTTTGACTTTGCAAAACAAATTGGGACGGAGGGAGTGATATATTCTACAACGATTTTCTGCATATTATATATTCCTTGGGGAAAGAAATATTCTACAACTATAATGCCATGTTTATAGTTGGAAAAACAGTCAATGTGTCTCACGCAAGAATTTCCCTTTCTTTTTCAAAGCATGAAGGTGCATTAAGTTTTAGAATGAGTATGAAGATGAAGATCACGGATACATCACAATATCACATACAAGCTAAGTATGAATTTCATGATCGAAAAATTAAACTTGACACACAGTTTCGAACGCCTTAGTCTTCACCTTCACACATACTTTCAATTTCACATGCAAAATCTTTCATGACATGCTAAATCCATAGACATTTGATCTTATGTGTGAATAATAAATTGTATCGATGTATATGTAATTGATTTTTGTTTTGTACACACAAGTATATATTCACTTACAAATTGGGACGGCACTACAAAAAAAAACACGTTTAGTCACGCGTTCAGTCACGGATTTTAGTCACGAGTTTTAACCAAACTCAGAAATACCGATATTAGGTTGGGACCAACTAACAAACTAGATAATTCAATCCTTAGTCCTCTAGTGATGCTGAAAAATGGGAAAGGATTGAATTGAAGCATTACGCAATTTAGTGTAACACTTTAAAACTTGAAATGAACACTTCTCAAGGTTAAAGTTTCAGAAAACACAAAGGAAGTAGCTGCCATACATCAGGAAAGTTTTCAACATCATGTGTATTTTAATACTCCGTAGTTCACTTGGTCTAATCCTCAAAATCTAGAATCTCATTTTAAGGAACAATAAAACCCCATTATAGAAAAAAAAACTAATGAAATGAAGTGGGAAAAACAAATAAACCAAGTGATAGAACAAGGAGAACATAGATTTTGTTCCAAATTATTCTCATAAATCATGAACTTTTATTCCAGAATTCTTAAAACATAAAAAACAGAACTCTAAAAGTGCAGGAATCTACACAAGTTTCATGGCCATGTATTATTCTCATCGATCATGAACCTCCGGATTATTCGTTGAGTTTTAATACAATTTGCTTATTGTTCAAATTGTGCAACCCTTTTCAAAAAAATCATCCATTTAGGGGGTGTTTGGAACTGATTCTGCTTCTGCTTCTTTTTTAAAGCAGAAGCAGAATCAGAATCAGTTGGAAAATGAATTTGACGAGACTCTTTTGAAGTTACACTTTTGAGATTTGGCTGAAATGTTTTCACTTGCCTCCAAGAACTCTCCGGTGATAATTTTTTGGCTAAGTGAGACTGTTGGAAAGTAGAAGGACAAATCGTGGGTCTGTGTTTTTTTCCATTCCAACTCAGCAATACACAGTATGGCTATATGCAAATTGCAAGTTCTGGAGCAAGTAAATTTACCCTAAAATCTATTTATCTGATGTGGCAATGCATTTTTAAATAATTCATGCTCCCCACTAAAGATGGTCTAAGGCTTCGTCTTTCAGCATTTTTGGCCAATACTTTCTAATCTGTTATAGTGCTACACCATTCCCTTAAAATTTTGTCATAATATTACCCCGAAATAGGACTAAAAAAGTTTGAAAATTCCAAAATATGACTGCCATGTTTTTTTTCTCAAAATAGGACTAATTACTGCCATGTTTTGACAGTACCACACTTCAAACATGGCAGTATTTTCCAAACTTGGCAGTAATTACTCCTATTTTGGGAATAAAAAACATGGCAGTCCTATTTTCGAATTTTTAAACTGACATGTTTGAAGTCTGGTACTGCCAAAACATGGCAGTAATTAGTCATATTTTGGAAATAAAAACATGGCAGTCCTATTTTGGAATTTTCAAACCATTTTAGTCCTATTTCGGATAATATTCTCTTTTATTTATGAACTAGCTTTCAAGCCCGTGCGATGCACGGGCTGACATAATTTAGCTAACTTTAGTCGTGATTTTTTTCGGAATCATATATAATGTGTTGCAAAAGCAAAATAAACTCAGGAGTTGTTTAATTTTGACTTAATAGATTTAATGACAATTTACACTTAATATTTAGTCCTTAAGTAATGTTTAATTATGACTTACTTTTAAGTATGCCTTAATCATTCAATAAAAAAACTAACTTAATCATTAAGCTGGAGAATAGCAGTCCTTCTCGGTAAGACGTCTATTGAGACGTTTTTCTGTCAACTTTTTCAAATTGATTATGGAATAGATTTATATTAATAAAAGAAGTTTTTCATTGACACTGTAAATTAGGAACAATACTAAATTGTTTATTTTAAATGATTCAGACTGTTTATTCAGGATGCAAAATAAATAGCCTCAAATACAAATATCACTTAATTAGACATCTTAATCGGATCCAGACATACGTGTTAATCTAGACATGACTTAATAGAAAAAATGATCGAATCGACTGTTTTTTCAATTTTGATATAATAAAAGTAGATAGAAATATATATAGTTTCTCGTAGAAGATGAGTTCCATAGAAATCAAAACAATTGAATTACAAAAAAGTTTTATGACCTCCTTCCAAATTTCTATTAGAAAATAACACATCTAGGTAAAATGCTATAAAAATCTGAGATAAGTGAATACGTGGAGATGTGAAATAATTTATGCATTTTATGTAATTTTGATCAATCATGTATGATGCATAATATTATGTATCATAAACATATTAATGGTAGAGTATCATATATACTCCCATAGTTTTTAATAATATATAATTAAAATATTGTATAAACTTATTGTGATGACGCTCTTGATATATGATCTCTAAACAATAGAACACTTTAAGCGAAGGAGAAATTGGATCAAAACTAAAATTTATAAAACTGAATAGTGGAACTGTGAAAGCATACTTTAATTTACACTCTCTTCCGTTTTATAATAATAAGTGTTCAATTCCATGTAATTTTTATGTTTCTAAATTCCGAATATTAAAACATAAAATATAGACTACTGATCATCAATATGTAAGGTCGTAAGGATCTGAATTTAAACTTTATAGGAACATAAAAATATAAAATATAGAAACATATATAGCCTAGGCTCATAAAATATAGCCTACGATCCATTAAATCTAAAATTCCCTTACATAATATTGCTACATTCATCAATGTAAACTCTTTGCCTAGGTTTGATGTTTCTAAATTATGAAATTAGGAATTTGAAATATTGCCTACATAGTACACGTTTTTTTATGTTGCCAAAATTACTAAATAAGGTGGAATTTTATATCAACATGTAATAAAAATAGAAGGTAATAATAAAATAAAAGATATAAAAAATAATTAAATAATTGTTATATATGATGACATGGCAGAGTTATGTGGCGCGTTGTATGCTCTTAAAAAGTTCCTCTTTTATATATATATATATATATATATATATATATATATATATATATATATATATTGATGTGTTTCTATTAAAAAAACATTTCAATGCATTTTTATATTATAAATAATACTCGTATCCTATGAAAACATTTCATGAAAGCTTAACTTGATTAACAAAAAGAAAACTTTTTACGGGTTCTTAGTTCTTACGGAGTATCTTACAGAGTTCTTACAACGTTATCTCCATCTTTAAAAAGTTAAAATGGATAACCTGATGGGGTCATGGGGAGAATGGATTTGACTGTTTGAGTCCCGTCAACCTAAATTATACACCCTCCGATTTTATTTAATCTACTTCAACAAAATAAGAAAAGAAATTTGACTTTACCGTAAAGTATACTGTTGAGACACTGTTTGATATTGTTTGACACTGTAGAGACATTGTTTGGCACTGTTGAGACACTGTTTGACATTGTTTTGGTGTTGATTTCTTTGTCAAAAAGAGAAATAAGAATGTGTGAAGTTTATTTTAAATTGTCTCAAAAAGGAAAGTGTGAAGTTTATTAAAAATAGGAAGAGTAGGACTTTTGTGTAGGGAAAGAGTGGAAGAAAAAGATTAACAGATCACAGGATAAAGGAGGGAATGTGAATGGACTATGGAGATATAACTAAAAGGAATTGTATGATCTGCTATTTCTTGGGTTGAATTCATTCACTCTTTTCTGCCCGTCTCCATCATTGCCCACACGTCCATCTCGCTCTCTACACATACTCCACTTTTATATACTAATAATTGGTATTTTCTTCTCTCTATTCTGCAATTTACAAACACAAAAGTTGACCCTTTTTGCGGCAAAGATTGAAACTTTAGCAAGCGAGTGTCTGATCTGTATTGGTCTGGCCTTCTTTTTTGTTAAAGAGGATGACTGTGGAGGAAATACGAGGGAATATGGGGACTGAGAACGGTAATTATGACAACTTCCCTGTTGGAATGAAAGTTCTTGCTGTTGATGATGACCCACTTTGCTTGAAGTTACTGGAAACCCTGCTTAGGAAATGCGAATATCATGGTATGCCTTTTCTGTCTTTTCTTTTTAAAACTGAACTATAATTGATTGATTTTATGTTTGAGAATTTTACAGAATTGGGTCGATAATTTCTTGTCTCTGATTTACAGATTTGTGAGCTTATTGGCTGGAGAGTTTACTGATTTGCTGTTTCATTGACCCCCCCCCCCCCCCCCCCCGTTAACTTAATAAATCCCACTTTCTGGATCTTGCTTCAATATCCTAATAAGCTAAGAGGAAATTTAGATCTCGCTATCAATTCAGTATGTAGATGATAATTCCTGCGGGAATTGCATAGTTTGGGAATTGGCTGTAGGCCTGTAGCTAATGAAGTCTTTGTAATGTTTTCCAATAAGTATGGTTTTTTTCATTTCTGGGCAGATCATATGATTTGTTTGGATGTGTTCTATATTGTTCCTCCACTACTTTAAATGACTAATATTGAGCTTATGAGTTTGAACTTCATCTTATAGTTGTCAAGACACCAACTTTATGATCATTCTTTGATTTTTATTTTCTTATTTATTGTCATGGGATGTTTCCCCTTTTGTGTTATACATGTGTGGGTGTTGAAAATCATAAATGGAACTCTGTTATATTTTTCTTTTATAGTAACCACAACAAGTGAAGCAAGAATGGCACTGAATATGTTGAGAGAAAACAAAGACAGATTTGACTTGGTAATTAGTGATGTTCATATGCCTGATATGGACGGTTTTAAGCTGCTAGAACTTGTTGGTCTCGAGATGGATCTCCCTGTCATCAGTAAGCATCTGTTTTTTGTGGTTTATGATTAAATTAACATCTTGTGTTTCGTTCAATAATGTTTACAGATAGACTCGCCCTCGTATTTATTGGCTTCATATTCATAGAATTTCCCTTATTCCCCGGATTTAGGGAAGGGGTTATGCCAGTTTCTGAAATTGGGGACATTCGATACACCTCACATTATTGTCCTGCTTCTCATCTTGGGGTGTTTTTTCTACTGCAATAATTTACAGAACTCTACAATATTTTAAATAGATAAATAAAAATAAAGAATTTTCCAAATTTTAAGGGAGTGTTTGGAATTGATTCTGCTTCTGCTTCTTTTTTTAAAAGCAGAAGTAGAATAAGAATCATTTTTTCAGAAGTTGGTCTCCCAAGCTTCTTAAAAACTGCTTCTAGGAGCAATTTGGAGCACTTGGAAGTACTTTTGCATTTCCATCCAAACACTCCAATATTTGCTTATGTTACCTAAAGGAACAGAGCTTAAGAAGCATATCCAAACACCCTTAATGCCCTAAGGTGATTTATCTAATTTGTAATAATTCAATTCCTGGTAATTTAATTTAACTATTTCAGTAATTCGATTTCAACACCTAAATAAATCCAAATAAGGCGTATTTTTTGTTTTTCTTTTAGCATATTTTGTGGTTGCAAAGAATAAATTTGAATGTGCACCCCATGAATTATTTTTCTTTGACCATGTACCTTAAATTGGTTTCATTTCATTTTACTTTACACCCCCACTCTGGGGTGCATTCTCAAAGAAAAAATATTAATGGGGTGCAAAGTCAAATTTTCCCTTTTGTGAATTGACCAACAATATTTTTATCCCTATTTTTTTTCTTCCATCCAGTGTTGTCCGGAAATAGTGATCCCAAACTAGTAATGAAGGGAATAACTCACGGTGCTTGTGACTATTTGGTCAAACCTGTTCGGATTGAGGAGCTGAGAAACATATGGCAGCATGTCATCAGGAGAAAGAAGTTCGACTCCAAGAACCAAAACAAGTCAACTGATCAAGACACGGCTCGATTCGGTGGTGGGGATGGCTGTGGACAAATCATGAAGGTGAACAAGAAAAGGAAAGATGAGGAAGATGATAGTGATGATAATGAGAACGAGAATGAGGACCCTACTGCACAGAAGAAGCCTAGAGTTGTTTGGTCTATAGACCTCCACAGGAAGTTCGTTGCAGCTGTTAATCAGTTGGGCATTGAAAGTGAGCTCTTTAATATCATTCCTTTGCTTATCTTTTTGCCACAAGTACTTTATAGGTCTGTTTCGAACCCAGGATTTACAGGGGAAATAAAATATGGAAAAGAATAGTGGAGTAATGAGAAAATATTAGCGAAGGAAATTCAAGGGTAAACTCAAACTCAATAAGTAGTTTAGACTTTAGATATTTTCTGAAAAGAACTTGCTTATTCATTTTATTGTATAATAATGTCCAAGAAATCTAAACATCTGTTTTTTATATTAAAAAACAATGCTCATACTTCAAGCCCGTTTTGTAAGGGTTCTTGTAAATATAACTGTGTCCTGTTCGGTCTATTTTCGAATTGGCTAAAATACGTTTTTAGTCCCCACATAAATGACACTTTTTTTTATATCCGTGCAAAATATTTCTTTTTTTCATTCTCATTTTCTTTTTTGGCCCTCCCAAACTCCGAGAAAATCTCCATTTAGAAAAAATTATTGTTTGCATAACTCTACCGAAAACTTTTAAATTTATTATTATTTTCTAATTTCTTGGTGACCAATGTTGGAGTTAAAACGATGTAAAACTAATCATTCACATTTTAAAATAGCTTCTAATGATCCTCTAGAAAATAAAATATGTTTTTTTTAATTACATGACAAAGAATGATACCAAATCTATTAGTTAGAGTTGTTTAGTAAGTTGTTATGATTGGTGAGAAACTAATAAGAAAAAAACATAAATTATAGGGATGGAAAACCTATAAATAATTTTGCAGAGATGTAAAAAAACAAACACTATATCTCAAGGGTCCATAAACATATTTACAACAACATCCAAGCCTTAATCCCAAAAGATTTTGGAGTCGGCTTACCGGAAAGATAAGAAAGATAAAAAAAGATAAGGTAAGATAAAGATAAATACTCCCTCCGGTCTTAAGTAAAGTTCCCACTTTTGTTTTTGGGTAGGTCCAAAATAAAGTTCCCATTTCTATTTTTTGACAAGTTTTTAATATAAGTTAGCCTTATACCCTTACTTCATTTACCCACTTTACACTCACTTTCTCTCTCTGATTACACCTCATCTACTTTATGTAAGGGTATAATGGGAAAGTCAAAAGCAAAAATTCAACTTTCTAAAAAATCGTAATGTCAAAATCGTAGTATAACTTATAAAGATAAAAAGGATAGAAAGAATATATAAAAATAAAAATAAAAAGGATAAAAGGATGATGAACATAAGAAAGATAAAGAAGATAAAAAGATAAAAGGATAGAAAAGAAGAAAAGAGATCAATCCTCCACACGAATATCTGCCTTCCATTTTGCTCTCTCCATAGCCATACTCTCATCCACTAGAATCATATTTAATCCTTTCAAAATTAGTAAGTCATAACTATGACCATAGTTTTTTACTTATTCTAATTATTCAGCTTGTTCTGTAGAATAAGCAGTATAAGTGTATAACCTGTGTTTGCATTTTCAAAAAAAAAACCTGTGTTTGCATTTTCAGAGATAAAACCAAATTTAATAAAATAGCGTCCCTTTGCACCCCACTCTCCGTAGCATTTTCCACCGTCCAAACACACCCTAAATCTTTTATTGTTTCTTATTCGTGTGTTTCTTGTCTTGTATTCTGTTTCATTGTTTGATCTTAGAAGCTGTACCCAAAAGGATTCTTGACCTGATGAATGTTGATGGGCTTACACGTGAGAATGTAGCAAGCCATCTCCAGGTAATATTATATCCACTTTTTTATATCGAGTGTTTTTGTTTTCATTTTTAGGAATTTCCTGCATCTACAGTTTGTCTGCAGTGTTATCGATAAGATTTATTAGGTACAAACGATGTTTATTCAAATCTCAAGCACCGTTTGGTAGCCTTTCTGGCTTGTCCTACTTCAATTAGCAAAATAAGTTATTGCTGACGTACTTATTTGGCTGAAATGGATGTTAGTCATCATGTTACCTAATGTTATTATTTCAACAAGTTCTGCAGATTCTGTTATTTCAGCAAATTAAGTGGTTACCAAACAAGGCTTTAGAATGATGTGTTGTAGGATTTCTGTGCATTATAAGATCTTTTATTGAATTAAGATGAATTGGAATAATCTTGGAAGAATGGAGTGAAGACAAAAATGCCCTTTGAATAAAATCATGACCATTACAAGTCATTGATCATTCTGTCCATTGAAACATATTTTTGCCACCAACTACACAAAAAGGAATACATACAACGACATTACCAAGTGCCACAAAGGCTCCCACCAACGGTGGGGTAAAGGGGGTCGAATGTATGCAGCCTTACCCTTACAAAGAGATTGTTTCTGGATGACCCATGATGAAAATCGCGTCGCAAATTGCATGAACTGACTCTTGTTTCATAACAAGGAAACACAAACAGTTCAATGAGCCATTTTGCTTTATTCCATCATATTCCCAAGCCAAAAATAGTGAGTCTTTGGCTCCATTGGAAATGATGGAAAACAGAAAGGAATAAATGCATACCAAATTTGCCATTAGTAAAAAAATGAATTAAAAAGGCATTTGTAGACAAATTGAAGCTAAAAGTTGTCTAAATACTGTTCATGGCATATCCTTATTAGTTATTTAATGAACTTAATATTGTTTTAACTTTTGCAATTGTGATCAATGATATTTAGCTTTATTTTATGGATATTTCTTTGAAGACCTACATGATCATTTATTTATAACATACTGGCTACACAATTTTTAAACCTTCTAATTCTGATGCAGAAGTACAGGCTCTACTTGAAAAGAATAAGTTCGGTAGCAACTCAACAGGCCAACATGGTGGCTGCCTTTGGGGGGAAAGAATCTGCTTACATGCGATTGGGCTCACTTGACGGGCTCGGAGATTTCCGGACACTGGCAGGATCAGGAAGATTTACCCATCCTTCTTTATCTTCATACCCACCAAGTGGCATGCTTGGTAGACTAAATAGTGCTGCTGGTGTAAACATCCGGAATCTTAATCTCCCTCAAAATTTGAGCCAGTCTTTTGGTACTCTTGGAAAGTTGGGTCCAGCCACAGGTCCAGCTGTTACCCCGAATGCAAGCTGGGTCCCACCATTAGAACTTGTTGACCCCTTGCAACAAAGTGACCTCAACCCGTTAGGTGGTTCCACGCTTCTTGGAGCTGCAAATACAACATTTCCAGATCCAAGTTCTGGTGTTGGGCTAATTGCAGGAGGAGTTGGAATCCCGCAAGCTCTAAATGTGGTTTCGTTAAATTCTGATCCGTTTAACCTCACAGTTAGCGGGTCTTCCAATTTTCCTGACCATGGAAGGTCGAGTGAGAATTGGCAGAACACAATTCAGGTCAACAACTTCCAGCCGGTGACCGAAACGTTCAATCATACCCCCCAACTGACACAAAATTGTGTGAGAGAGAGTAGTTCTTCTGTGGGCCCGCGTTTACAGGGCAGCTGTCCCATGTATTCTTGCACCGCGTCTACTTCTGTTGGCCCTGAGAGGTTGGTAGGTGATGCTGCCAGTCAGAGTACTATTAATCATGTGGCTACTCAACAGTGGGGAGAACATAGTAAACTTAATAATCACAAGTCAAATGCTGTTTATGGAAACACAATAAGTTCTCGGGGCCCAGTCAACAACATCGTGCCACAGCCTTTGACCCGGATTGGTGTTGACCAATGTGATGACCTTTGCAACAACAGAGTGATTGATGCTTGTGGTGAATCAAGTATGGGGCCTTCATTTCTGTTGCAACACAACAAGAATGGGAATTTGACTCCTGACTCAAGGGCGGGATACTATGGAGAGTACCTTTTTGAGCCACCAAAGCCAAATGAGGCTTTACCCTCTCCAGGCTTTGGATCTATAGATGATCTGATGATGAGTTCAGTGATCAAGCAGGTATGTTATGTTTTTATATATTTTAAAATTAGTATATTTGGATTAGGGTATTAAATTGCAACAGGAACTAGGTGGGATGGGGGTTGGTCTTGATATACTACGTATATATTTGAGATTTTATAAAAAATGAAAGATTAACTTGAAATGTGATTCTGTAACATTTTATTTATGTTTTCAGTCATTTTTAGCACTATTTTGTTTCTCAAGATATTAACTAAGCCCTCCTGCGAACTTCATCAAGCTAGACCCTTAAGCATCTCAGTATTATTATTGTTTGCATTTGAGGTGGATGTAGTGTATTTCTGTTCTAGACTTTTAGGTGATATAAACATAACAATCCTTCCCTCCCTGTAAAGGGCCCCTTCTTTCCTTTTTCATCCATATGGTTTCTCATTCCTTTTGAGGAAATAATTGTTTTCCTAAACTGTTCTCTGCATAAATCTTAAGCGCACAATTTCATTGTTTTTAATAAGTGTGCCAAGTTGCGCGGGAGGTGGGGGTAGAGATAGAGATAGTAACACTACTCTCACTCGGCTTTCACCAATGCATCTTTGGAGTATGTGACTATGTGACAATACGTTTACTGGTTTCTTGGGGAAATATACTCACACCATAAATACTAAATAGAAGATGTTGCATGTAAAAGTATACTGTGCACAAAACCCACGTGAAAATTATCAAATATAAGAAATCTTCACAAAGACTATATCCTGAGTAAATATTTTCTTAGAAAACGTTTGCTTCATTTTCATGCATCTAAATACTAAATGCTTCATTATCATTTCATGCACTGCAGGAACAAGATGAAGGCTTACTAGAGGGGGAATTCGGGTTCGATCCTTTCCCATTTGGGTCATGTATATGAATTTCTTTACGAAATCAAAGTTATGTGTTGATATGCAGCTTTATTAGTTTTTCCTTTTTAAGAGTTAAGATGTTCCTCTTTTTACTTTTCTTATTTGGGTAGGACTTTCTTTGTTTGATAATGGAAACAAGATATTGATGTAATTCTCCTCTCTATCAGATTGGTAGTTCCACGTTCTTTCGCACCAGTTTTCTCCAAAGTTATGTACGGCGTTCGGTGTTGTCCTTTCTTTGCACCCGTAAAAACGGGCAATAAATTATTAAATTTCTTCCGATGTCGGATATTTCTGCTGAAGAAGAGCTGTTCTTGAAGTCACCTAAATTTTATTGACTTGAAGTGGTCTACAACACTATTTTATTTGACTTGGGGCACTTGAATGTAGAGATGACAATTGTGAACGATCAGATAGATATCCGCATCGAACCGCCCAAGTCAAAATGGGGAAATCCGCATTGACCGAGTAATGGATATGGGGCGGGAAATACCTGATTTATTTTTATGGGTAATAGATTGGTTACGGTTTTATACATGTCCGCCCTGCTTATTTTTAGTTATATTTTTATTACATTCTTATCTGTTGGGATTGGAAAATTCTTCTATTCAATATCAAGAATAGAATTACAATAGGAGGAGCAAACTCTCACACTCAACTATTACAAAAAACCAATCCTAACCAATACACTTCTACTCTAAGTGTATTTTCACTCTTCACACACTTTTCTCACTTTCTAAACTGATGATATGAACAACAATAGAACACTCTATTTATAGGCTACTTTGGAGACAAGAGGAAGTTGCATCCATGCTTCCATAGTTATCTCCATATCTTTTCCCATCTTTATTTGTTGGAGACCTCCTTCCAAGAAGGTGTGAGATGACTCTTGGCAACTTCCAAGAAAGAAGGTGGAAACTCCCTACAAATCTCCCCCTCCACCTTTTTCTTTATTTCTCTCGTTCCTGCGATGCTCGCAGGCCCCCCCTCGCTAACAAGTATCCATTCGAATGTGGAATACTTTCTCTGTGGAACTATGCCTCGCATAGAACGTCGAACATGAGTACCTTCAGCTTCGTCTTCAGATGAAGGCTCCCCCTGCTGAGGAATATCATCACTGTGAGTATCATCATCACCTACTGAACCATCACTCTCATGTTCAGTAGTATCATGCATCTCCTCGTCACTGAGAGGAATGTTTGATGATACAGGCACTTCGTCTTCTGGAGTATGTTGTTGGCGGATTATTGGAACACACCCATGAAACTCGTTTTCATGAAATACAACATCTCTGCTTCGTACAACTTTCTTCACTTCGGGATCCCACAACCGGTATCCGAATTCTTCATCACCATAGCCGATGAAGATGCATGGGTTTGACTTGAGATCAAGCTTCTGTCTCAACTCCTTGGACACATGTGCAAATGCCTTGCACCCGAACACTTTCAAGTGAGAGTAAGAAACATCTCTTCTTGACCATTTCTTCTCTGGCACTTCAAAGTTTAAAGGAACAGAAGGTGACCTGTTTATAAGATAACAAGCTGTCAGCACAGCTTCACCCCAGAATGGCTTAGGTAGTTTAGCCATACTCAGCATGCAACGAACTTTCTCCATAATGGTCCGATTCATTCTTTCGGCTACACCATTGTGTTGCGGAGTTCGTGGAACCGTCTTCTCATGTCGGATTCCGTATGCAGCGCAATATGCTGAGAACTCTCGGGAAGTGTACTCTCCTCCATTGTCTGAACGTAGACACTTCAACTTCTTCCCTGCTTCTCTTTCTACCATGGCATGAAATAATTTGAAGCGATCAAACACTTGATCCTTACTCTTCAAACAATAAGTCCATACCTTTCGTGATGCATCATCAATGAATGTCACGAAATACCTGCTTCCTCCAAGTGACTCCTCTTCAATAGGTCCGCATACATCAGAGTGTACAAGACTGAGTAACTCTGAATGGTTCTTCCTGGTAGAACTGAAGGAAACCCTATGTTGTTTCCCGAATAGACAATGCTCACATGGATCTAGGGCAACACCTTTGCCCATGGAAATGACTTGCTTCTTTGCAAGAGTTGTCAATCCCTTCACGCTCAAGTGGCCTAGCCTCCGGTGCCACAAGTTTGGTGATGTCTCTTCTTCAACAGCATTGAGACTCGGATGACACAACTTTGCATGAGTTTTATACAGAGTACCACAAATATGGCCTCTTGCAACAACCAAGGAACCTTTAGATAACTTCCACATACCTTCTTTGAATCGGTTAAGATATCCTTGCTGATCCAGAGCTGTACCGGAGATGAGATTCAATCTAAGATCCGGAACGTGTCGAACATCTTTCAACACAAGTGCGCATCCGACATTGGTTGTTATGTGCACTTCACCAATGCCAACAATCTTCGAGGAACTCGTGTTTCCCATCTTCACAGCTCCAAAGTCTCCTGACTTATAAGATGTGAATAAGTTCTGGTGTGGAGTGGCATGAAAAGATGCAGCTGTATCAATCACCCACTCAACATCATGAGTACCTACGTGTAAACATTCTTGTTCACCATGTGTAACAAGACACGCGTCTGATGACAAACTGACCATAGTCACACCATCTTCTTGGCAAGTATTTTGACTCGTCTGTGGCTGCTCTCGTAGAAACTTTCTACAATCTCTTTTTCTATGCCCATAGTTACCACAATAGTTGCAATATCCTTCAAACCAAGTATTGTTTTCACAAGACATACCTCGCTCTTGTGATCGGCTGCGAACTTGAGAATTTCCTCTGTTTTGACCTTGGCCTCTACCTCGACCTCTACTTCTTCCTCCATTTCTGCCTCCCCCTCGTCTGCTGGTTTCTGACACGAAGGCATATGATTGTTCAGTCCCGGCTTCTTTTCTTCGGGCTTCTTCGTTCATAAGGGCATCTGTGACCATCTGCATAGTCACTTTGCCATTGGGAGCAGAATTGCTGAGAGTGACAACAAGAGTCTCCCAGCTGTCAGGTAGAGAGCTCAAGAGTAGTATCGCCTGCTCTTCATCTTTGAGAACCCATCCTGTGGTGCTCAACTGATTCACAAGATCCTGGAATTGACTGGTGTGTTCTGACACCGAAATACCTCCTCGTAACTTGTGGTTTACTAATCTCCTCATTAGTAATGTCTTATTTCGGGCGGTTTTTGCTTGATACATGCTACCAAGCTTCTCCCATAGTGTGTAAGCACTTTGTTCTTGCGCAACATGGTGGAACACACTATGATCGATCCACTGCCGAATTTGTGCGACAGTTTTTCTATTCATTTTTGTCCATTCTTCATCCGTCTTTTTATCCGGTTTCACGCCATTATTATCAAGAGGATCGGCTAAATCCCTCAAATTTAGCAAATCCTCCATCCGAGGCTTCCACATATTGTAATTTGTGGAAGTGAGCGCAATCATGGTGTCCGATGATGATTTATCCATAATAAAACGCTCAAAATATCTCGTACCTTATTTTCGGAGCCGAATTTGGACAAACGGAGCTCACCGTTGGATCCGGAATGGCCGAAAATGGTAGGAACCCGGTCTGACCTCGTCCAAAACCGGTCTGAAAATGGGTGAACCGGCCTCCACAAGTACGAACCGGTTCGGTCCGGTTCAGGCAGCAGCCCAGTGAGCAGACCAGCAGGCGGATGACGTGGCAACAGCTGGCTCTGCGCTGGCGCTGACGTGGCGCCACGTGTCGCTGACGTGGCGCTGACGTGGCACCCCAGAGGATGGCTTGCACGGCTGACGTGGCGGATGCCGTGGCGCTTACGTGGACTGCCGTGGCGCTGACATGGCGGCTGACGTGACGCTGACGTGGCTCGTCTTCTTCCTCTGGGCTGCGTGATGACGCAATGATGACGCAGGCAGTTTTCCAGCGCGTTTGGGCGGCGCGTACGGCCTCTTCCGGTGGCCAAAAAATTCCCCAAAAATACCAGATTTCTCTTCTCGACGAGACGAATCTAACGGTATGATCAGATCGTGATTCCGAGCAACTTGAAAAATCACGATTTTCTAACCTGTAGAAATTTATCTGAAAAATGAGAAAACAGTGTATGAAAACTCAACCTTGCTCTGATACCACTTGTTGGGATTGGAAAATTCTTCTATTCAATATCAAGAACAGAATTACAATAGGAGGAGCAAACTCTCACACTCAACTATTACAAAAAACCAATCCTAACCAATACACTTCTACTCTAAGTGTATTTTCACTCTTCACACACTTTTCTCACTTTCTAAACTAATGATATGAACAACAATAGAACACTCTATTTATAGGCTACTTTGGAGACAAGAGAAAGTTGCATCCATGCTTCCATAGTTATCTCCATATCTTCTCCCATCTTTATTTGTTGGAGACCTCCTTCCAAGAAGGTGTGAGATGCCTCTTGGCAACTTCCAAGAAAGAAGGTGGAAACTCCCTACATTATCTACTATTTGTGTCACAACTAATAAAAGATGAGATTTTTCTATTTCCATTGTGTATATATGGTTGATAGATGTACTAACTATAGTGTATGAATGAAAGTTTATAATAGATCTTAATAGTCTTGTTTGAAATTATCAGATTTTTTTCATGATTAGTTATTTTTCAGATCAAGTATTTTTAGATTCAAATTAATTTAGGTTGTCTTTTTTCTCGTCTTGTAGATATATGAAACTTTTAAGTGGTGTCTGATTCTAGAGTCATTTAGGTGATGCCATTTTTCGTCTTTTAAAATATTATTTTAAATTTATATTAAAATATCAAAGACTCATTTAATAAAGCGATTACCCGCGATTACTTGCGGTTATACGCGTTACCTGTTGGGACAGTTGTGGTTTGGATAAAAATTACCCGTTGGGTAATGAGGGGTGGGGAGTTACCAAACGGGGCGGGTAGAATTTTATGTAAAACCGTCCCCGATTTGCCCCGTTGTCATTCCTACTTGACTGCCAATAAACTTTTTTTTTATCATCCCCAATAAACTTATAAAAGTGAACTTAAAGAAGTATTGAGAAGGAAAATTTCCCAAATAAAATGAAAATAATGTAAAGGTTTAATATATGAGTGTTATGTTTTATTTCCCTAAATACTACGGAGTACATAGTACTTTGTTGTCATTCCGAAAAAATTAATTGCGGTATTTGACATTAGCACATCTTAAATATGGTAGTATACTATCATAAGTTGTACTTCCGTCCCCCTAACATTGTATCATATTTCTTTTTCGTGATGTCTCACTAAATTTGTTTCATACCCAATTTAGTAAAGTTTGTGTGGTTTTAAATCATTATTACTTTATTCTTATACTAGTTTTCAAGCCCATGCGATGCACGGCGGTACACAATTTAGCTAAATGTAAATTTGATTTTTTTGAATCATACATATGTGATGCAAAATAAAAAAAAACTTGGTTTAATATAAAGCCGTCGTCGAATCGTCTGATTCTACTGTAATGAATTTAAATCTAACTGATTGGGCTGAATTGATTGAATCTCCCGAATTATGAAAAAATAAAATTAAATGTACTACGTATATCATTTATAAAATAACATAAAAAAAATATATGAAAAAGATTTAAAATAAACTTTTCTACATAAGCATCTCAACAAAACATAATTGTTAAAGAATTCATACAAAAGTTTCTTAATTGATCTCGTATCCTTTAAATCACTTTATTAAGCATATCAAAATACTATTTTTTTTT